TTTAACTCCATTCACCACAACTCTCTGGGCCCGGCCATCCAGCCAGTTTTTTACCCAGTGAAGAGTGCACCCGTCCAAGCCATGACCAGCCAGTTTCTCCAGGAGAATGCTGCGGGAAACAGTGTCAAAGGTTTTACTGAAGTCTAGGTAGACAACATCCACAGCCTTTCCCTCATCCACTAAGCAGGTCACCTTGTCATAGAAAGAGATGAGGTTGGTCAAGCAGGACCTGCCTTTCATAAATCCATGCTGACTGGGCCTGATCACCTGGTTGTCCTGTACGTGCCATGTGATGGCACTCAAGATGATCTGCTCCGTAACCTTCCCCGGCACCGAGGTCAGAGAAAGGTGATACCAAAATAGAAAATGAAATGTAAAATAATATTAAATGAAATTTTGGTGTGATCCTAGGGATAAGGAAAATCATGAAACAACTGTGATAACACCATCATTTAAAAGAAGGTCTCATCTAGATGAGAATTTTACCCTGAATTTTAGTCAGAAGTAGAGAGAAACTGGGTGATTCATTTTGTCACTGTGATTTGGCAGTCTACACAGTCCCAGAGCAGTTTCATCTAGTGTGATTTTTTCATAGACAGTTCTAGAAAATGTGTGACTTTAAAAATGCCTCAAAATACTGATATCTCAGGACAGCCAAGTAAACTTTATAAGCCAGGATTGCAAATGTAATTAAAACTAATATTTTTATTGTTTTGTCTTTTAAAGTACAGTAATTGTGATGCCACCACTTAATTGTGCTTTTCTTATTTTATTCTCTGGAAATTCATTTTGCCCTGTAAGTACCCTGTAGTTTTTACAGAGAAAGATGTTACAGCCACCAAGATGTTCACACATGGGCCTTGAGCCTTCATGCTGATGCAGCTGCAATTGCCAGCCATTCTCCCACCTCTCGCTTTTTGCTGCTGCTTGTCACCATCTGGAACGTAGACTGTAATCTCCTTTAGGCGAGGACTGGGTCGCCTTGCATGTTCTGCCAAGCTGCCGGGTTTGCTCACGGGTCTTCCAAATCAATGCAGCAATAGCTGCATTTCAGATGCACTGTAATGGATTCCATTCTTCATCAGTACAATTTCCATTGACTGTATGAGTTGAGAAGATGACTAGATTCACTGTTGGTGTTGAAAGTGACACTTTACAATAATGATTCCAACTTTTCTTTCATTAAAGGCGGTGATGGCAAGTGACTTTGCAATCCCAAGGTTCCGGCATTTGGAAAAGCTCTTGCTTGTTCATGGCCACTGGTGTTATTCCCGACTTGCCAACATGGTGCTGTATTTCTTCTACAAAAATGCAGTAAGTATTTGACTTGGCAGCTTTATGCCACCACATGTTTCCAGGGTTTATTTTGTGCTAAGTGAGCATTAGGTCAGCCTTCAAATGGTTTATAAATAAGCTGCAAAGAAATTTGCAGAGTTGAAAGACAGCTGGCTGCCATTTGCAGAAGTTCAGGACCCATTCCATAACAGCTACAGTGCGCTGCTGAATGTGCAAATTAGGTAACAGAAATAACAAGCACTGCTTAAGAAAAGTTTCTTTATAGAGCAGTTTTGCAGAATTTAGCTGGCTAGACACAGGAGTCTTTAATGCCAAAGCCATCCAGCATTGGTCCAAAGTAGCAGTTGAGTGTGTTTTCTCTTCCTGACCCTATCTCATCGTTGCTTATGAATCACTGTACATATTCCCTAGGGACTTGGGATAATTTGAGTCCTCTCTGTAGAGATTGGGAAGGTTTTTTCTTGATTTATCTTACTCCCAACTAACCAAAAGAGTTCATTAGAAAGGAAGCACACCGTGGTAAAGAACAGACTACATGTCTGCATTTCCTCCCTGGTGTATGAAACGGGAGTTAGTCCAGTAGTGGGCACTGAGCCAGTAGCAGCTCGACTCCTTGGCCCTAACAAAGGTCCTTTGCATTGATCTTGGAGTACAAAGATGATTGATTGAAAACTGCCTAACAAAACAACCAAGAATTCCATCACCTAGGTGGGAGTCACTGGCAGGCACACAGATCTGCTCACTTGCAACACCTACAAATCACCTTGGGAGCAAGGGATATGAAGAAGCAGGAAAAAGAGGAGAGCCAGAGCTCTCAGACTTCTGTTTGCTTCAGAGGACAGTGTGTGAACTGTGAGCGGGAGACTGGATTTTATCCTCAATATCAGAAAAAAAGTAGCTCTCAGTTTTGTAAGAGTTACTTTCCAAATTTAATCTAATCCTCAATTTTTTTAATCAGTGGCAACTTTTTAATGCAAATTCCTCTTGGCCTGACTAATCCCCATCTGATCTCAATCTGAAGGTAGGTATTTTATCGGGAGAAGACCATCATTTGCTCAAAATTTTGAACTTCATAGGAATACCTAAGGGAGCTAAAGAATTATTAAAGCGTCCTTGTGTTAACACAAGCATATTAAAATACCTTCTGTGGTCTGATCAGAAACTACATGCAAGCACCCTTCCAGACATAAAAGAAAGAAGGACCTTGGATGGTCTGAACTGCTGCCTGAGTCTGAAATAGCAAACAGATTTAAATAATGCTGCACGGACTGGAGAGACGCCTGTTGAAGCACAACAGTGAAATATGTGCTGGTGTTCAAATGCCTGAGTTTTAAGGCTTGATCCTGAATGATCCTGAACATCTGTACTCCCACCCCCAGTGCTGTATGTTTCCCAGATACCCTTTGGCTTGACAGTATCAAATCTGAACTTCCAAGAAGTGTATGCAGAGCCATCTTACATTAAAATAAAAAAAAAGAAGTAATACACATAAGACATTCCAGCAATCAGCAGCCAGAGATGTTGTTTATACATCTACATTTTTGTTCAGCTCTTGTAAAATCTTCCATTTCCTTTGGTACAACTCCCTTTGATTACGAGTATTATTTCTTATGCCATTTTTAGTAAGACATTTTCAGAAGCTGCTGCCTCAAGGCTAGAATATATCTGAAGAAATCTCTTTGTGTTGGCTCTGCTTTGGCAGCCTTGAGAGCTTTCTGAGCAATACTTGTTGCTACTGACTCTAAAACTGTAGTGGGGTATCCAGCATACAGACATGAATATGTCTGACACAGTGCCTGCCCTTAAGGAAGGAATATTCAAAAATGAAAGATGTGAGCACCGGATCCTTTTGCAAGGAGACGATTCTGGATGATTCTCCGCAGAGAGTCAAGAACACTGCAACTGTTCTGCAAGTTTTCTGTTTCCTCAAGTGTTTTTTTCCCCATTTGCTCCTATTACGAAATTTTCCATTCTCCACTAGAACCTATCTAACTCAAAGTTTAAACTCCAAATTTCTGCAAAAGCCATTTGGAAACTCAGATGACTTATCCAAGAAGATGCTTGGCTTGGTGGAGATAATAAAAATACAAGTAAAATATAAACTAAAACATAGCATCACTGGAAATATCTGAGCTTGATGAAAAGGGATTTCATGTAAACAGAATTCTACCTGCACAAGGATGCACTGTTTCTTCCCCTTTAAACATTATCTCTGCAAGATAGCACTGGACATTTTTTGACATATACTTCATTCACTGAGAAATGCTGTCTGGGGCCACATTCATAAAACAGTCTCATCTGGGGGAAAAAAAGGAAACCTTTTTTATTTAAAATCTGATTCAATTTTTATGTAAATTTGTTTTGACTTTTTCGGGGGGCAATGCACAGAAGCAAGAGGCAACATTATATTTGAAATTAAATTAAACACTTGTTTAATCCAAAATGAAATTTCAGGGGGAAAAAATCTGATTTAAGCTTGGTTACTGAAATGTCATTTATTTGTACAGCTTTCTTTGACAGCACTGCTGAGACCCATACTAGAGGTGGTAGGGAAATTTTCAGCTGACTGTATTTTCATCAAACTACCTATTTTTGTCAGAGCCAAACTGTTTCCAGGACAGGTTAATTTTAGCAAGGCTTTAGAGAGGAAAATTTCTTAGGTCCAGGATTAGCTGGATTTTGTTTATTTCAAATGAGTGAGAGAAAAGTACCTAAATTCACATGTTTATTGCAATTCCATTTTGAGAAAAGACTCAGGAAGTTTTGTTGCTTTTTGGGTGTGGAAAGGAAATAAATTTCAAAATCTGTACCATTTTGAAATGAAATTGCCATCTCCCAGCCAACTGTACTGAAGAGGGTAAGCTCTGGTAACTCAGTCTTGTTTTGGCCAGAGGAAGATATTTTTCCTGAAATGTATTTACGGAAACGTTTCTAGAGGTGATCCCTAAAAAAATACTACTATCTAACTTTTAATAGGTTAGTTTATGGTATGGGCTCACAAACAGTGAGACGTATGTTGCTGCTGATATACAAGCCACTTCAACATAGTTTGCAGACATTGCCTGAACATATATATACAATATATCTATATATATATTTACGTATAGCAGGACTGACCCTCTTATTCTGTGGCACTTCTCTTTCACAAGGTAGGCTTACTCTCCTTATAGCAGTTTTCACTGACTAAGCAGACCATAGCTTTTTTTTCTCTCCTATGTTTAAATTTCAACCACATTTTGGCATACAGCTAGAACAGATCTATATTTTCCTCTGTATATCTAAAAATGATGAAGGGTTAACATCCTCCAGCTCGCTGAAAGCTTTTGACTACTGAATACAAAAAGAAGAGGAAGTGAAAGGAGAGGTCATGTCGTTTCCCTTCTTTATGGTTAAAATGGGGAAAAACCTCGAGGGACAGTTACCAAAGTTTTTCTGGTTGCCTTCCGTTTAGTGTTAATCTCTTTACAAAGAATAATAAAAATTGCAGTTTTAGGAGGACCAAGCCTGGGAATTTATTTCCTTCCCTAGGAAGCCGCCCATCTTTTTCTGGGCCTCAAATTCCCCCTCACAGGTGAGATCAGCACCTCTCCTGAGCCCTAAAAACCTCTGGATTCTCCATGCTGCAGAGATTGTAGAAGAAATGAGTTGTGTGGTTTGTCCCTTTTTGAGTGATTCCAACCCAACTACATGAACAATCCCACTGCAGCTGTGTATGCAACTGATTTCTTTACACAGCTGAAAAGTAAGGGACAGTGAGGAATCTTTACAGCACTACTAATCTGCTGAATTTCAAAGCACAGAGATAGAATACTTAAGACAACTTTGCTAGACAGTTTCACCTGCCTTGCTGCTGCTAGTCTCATGTTGGTCTTGCAAAAAAGCTCTGCATTACCTATTGTAGACCAGAAACAAACATCTGGGACAAAACATCTCAAGCCAGCAGAGGATATTATTATGGAAATGCTTATTCTTACAAGAGTAATCTAAGTGTAAGTGTAACTGTTCTATGATTCTATGATTCTAAGTGCTATCAGATCAGTACTCATATACCTAGAAGTCAGTGATGGTTGGGAGAGCTTTTTACGGTTAGTTAAATTGCACCTCAGAGTTTCACTTGAACTGAAAGTTAATTTTGTGTGAAGTCATCCATGACACCTGAGATCTGAGGTTCCAGCAGCACAAAGACTTGCAGGTGTGCCAAATGTTTGTAGCTTAGCTAAGTGGTCCAGGCATCAGGAACAGCGAGTTAAAAACTAGGTATCCGTAGAAGGATTGCTGACGTGTTTAGCGTTCATAGATAAGTCCTTGCCGAACTGGAATCAGAATGCTTTGAGAACACAATGGGATGATGGCCCTGCTTATCTTGTCATATTTACAGCATTTCTCATTCTGTTTCAGATGTTTGTGGCCCTTCTCTTCTGGTACCAGTTCTACTGCGGGTTCTCTGGCTCGTCAATGGTTGATCAGTGGTATCTCATCTTCTTTAATTTACTCTTCTCTTCTCTTCCACAACTGATTACTGGCGTGCTGGATAAGGATGTGCCAGCTGAAGTGTTAATTGCTGTACCTCAGCTTTATAAAAGCGGCCAGAATATGGAGGTAAAAACTTCTTGCTTTTTGTAATTTTTTTCCTAGATGTCTTTAGTTTCAACTGAAAACCAACGCTGCTCCCAAAGGGTGGATGACTGATAAAAACAGTCTGAGAAGTCACTATTATTATTTTGTGATATTTCTCATCTGAGTCAAAGTATCTAAATGCCAAAAGTACATTTAAAACAAACAAACAAAAAAAAAAACAGCTATAGTTTGAAATATGTAACAGGAGAGAACTGGATGCTTTAAGTCAGCCTAAGCTGAACACCTCCCTCGTGGTCCAGGCTCACAAATAACCACAAAAGTAGAGCAGATTACACCTTGTAGACTAGTGCGGACTTTCACAGAATAACCTCACAGTACTTAATCAAAACTTCAGGCCCCAGCACTTTACAAACAGTCAGAAGAGAAAGATGTCTTTAGGAGTAAGCACGGAGGTCAACAGACACAGACTCTGAGGGAAGTAGTCACCAGCAGATGACAGATTCAGCTGAAATGTCTGTTGAAAACACCTTGTCCACATCTGCTTGAATTGTACAATGAAAATAGAAGGAATTGCAGGAGGGATTCGAGCCAAACCATTTCTGGTAATTACAGCTACAGCGTACTGTGGGAAAATCTTTCTGCTTGGCAAAACTATCCATGCTGAGACATTGCTTCCAAGGCAAAAGCCTTTCTTAAAAGGATCTGACATTGTGCCCTCTGAGAGGAGACAGTGAGTGCCTTTTGCCTCTGACTGTACACCTGCATTTGGTACCCTACACATCCAGTGACATTGCTAGACACTGTCCTGGAAAGATGAAAGGAGAATTTTAGCGTAACATCTTTCTAGTGCTTTAGTCCAAATTCACTCTTTTTCACCCAGCTGTTTTCCATTTTCTACATTTCTTTTGTTCCAGTGCATTGCACTTTAAAGATCTGTAACATTAATACCTTCCTTTCTTGCACATTTTTAAGGTGATAGAAATCTGGTAATGGCTTAAGCTTGTTGGGAAGTTGTGTTTGCCTGTCTTCAGCTGGCAAACTGAGAAGTCTCCCAGGTTGACAGTGCAAATAGTTCTCATAGGCAAGCCCAGGGACCGTTATAAGTTTGTTTGAAATCTACTTTTCTCTGAATAGTTACCTAAAACGCATTTCTAAAACTTGCCAAAAATCCTGCTTCAGGTAGGATCTCTTTCAAAAAGATATCACCGATTCAAAGCCTATAGTATTCTAGAATAATTTAGGTTGGAAGGGACCTCTGGAGGCCATCTGATCCAGCCCACTGCTCAAAACAGCTTCAAAGCTAGATAAGGTTGCTCAGGTCTTTTTCTAGTCCAGTTTTGAAGGTCTCCAAGAATGGAGATTCCGCAGTCCCTCTGAGCAAGCTGTTCCAATGCTTAACCACATGTTATTTCAGTAGGCCAAAGAACACCAGAATTGTTTCTAAGCGTCTCTGAATTCTCATTTTTTGGCTGCAATTGTATTCTCCATGGAGGTAAAGAGTCCTGATGAGCCCAGTGGTTGCAGATGTAGCCTATATCCCAAAATTAAATAAATAAATATTTTGTCATTTATGAACTATTTTTACTTATATCCAGGTCTTTTATATGACCATCCGTACCCCTGCAATTGTATATTTCTTTAAACCACAATGTGAGTTTAATATTGTTTCTTAGCAAGCAATTTTGTGCCCAGACACAGAGATATATGTGTGTGAGTATATATACATGTTTATTTATGTATTTATAACATAGCATACATTGCTGCATCACTTGCTAAAGGTCATTGTTGTGGATCTTTTCTAACTATGTGTGCTTTTTCTGTTTTCTCTCTTGTGAATAAACACTCTGTGCTCGTACATACATGATGTAAAGCGCATTTACCCATGTGCTTACACCTCAGAGAGCTCCTCCTGAAATCAGTGGTCTAACTGTAGTGCATAAAGTTGGGCATCTTCATAAATGTTTGCTGGCCTGAATGTCAGATTCAAATTACACCCTCTGCCAGGGGAAAAAAAAAAAGCAGAAGAGTGTCCTCCCAGAACAGAGGGACTTGCAGGTTGACGCTTCATACTTCATCCCCCAGTGTATCTAACTGATTGGCAAAGTTGTGAAGCTATTTGCTCAAGCCCTTAAAAGTGCCCATTGGAATATCGCCCTCAAAATACCTGTCCCAGCAAACAGCATGTTCATTAGGCTCTGATTTTCTTAACTTTTTTTGTGCCACAGGAGTACCAACCACATATGTTTTGGATGAACATGATTGATGCTATGTATCAAAGCCTGGTTTGCTTCTTCATCCCCTATTTCGTAAGTGTTTGGTTTAAGCCGTTCTATTTCAAGCATTTTGAGGAGAACTGGCAACACAGCTTGGGCTAAATTCTGTCTCCTTCTTTACAGACTTACTATGATTCGGAGGTGGATATCTTCTCCTGGGGAACTCCCATCACCACAATAGCTCTTTTCACCATCATACTACATTTGGCTATAGAAACCAAAACTTGGGTAAGGTACCCACAGCCTACATAGAAACTCGCTGGCATATACATAATTCTTTTCTTAGTGCCATTCTTCAAAAACAGAAGATGGTCGTTTCATCCCCTCAGCACATTCTATTTTTAGCAAACGTTTTAAGCAAACGTGAAAAAGGTTTTAAACTGTGATCTGCGAACAGCTTTGTAGTGTTGTATCTATAATAAGAATTTTTGAAAATACAAGGCTCTAAACTCCGCTGTGCATGGATTTGGCTCCAGAAATTAAGAACTATTAATGCAAAATCACAGCAAATTTCTCAGAATATAAAGAATCATTATTCTTTTGTTGGTTTTTTGTTCTAGACTTTTCTCCACTGGTCATCTTGCATCTTCAGTATCCTTTTATTTTTCTTTGTGGCTCTGGTTTACAATGCTTCCTGCCCAGTATGCCATCCTCCATCCAATCCCTACTGGACTATGGAAAGGCTGATGGGAGACCCTATGTTCTATTTCACTTGCATTATCTCACCAGTCGTTGCATTGCTGCCCAGGTATTGTATCTTCTCTCATACCTTTTCTCATATATGAAAGCACTTTACGCATATGGTTGGGAGGGCAAGAAACATTTCTTTTTCCACTCCCTCTCTTTCTTTTTGCCTTACCAGCCAAGTCAGTTTTTTTCAGCAGCTGATTATATGAAGTCAGGTTGTCTAACCTTTTCTGTGCTCCTGACCACAGGAACAGACCACAGCTCCTGGCCATAGACCACAGGAGTGGGATAATAGTAGACTGTTGGTCGAACCTCCTGGCCATGCAGAGATTTGCTACCCTGTGAGGTTTTCCATGATGCTTCCAGATTCGACCCATCCTCCCCTAACATGCACAGTACAGAAATTCTGATAGTATGTTGTGGACGTACTTGCCTACTTACGGATGTAGGAGGCCTGCGCTGCAGACTGATCCCCATTGCCTTTGATTCCTCATTGGGAAAGATGAAAGAGCGTGTGTAATCACAAGGTGGATCACTGGCTAAAGGCGCAGATTTATTACACTGCTTGTTATTAATCAAAATATTAGCACAGCATTCAGAGCTTTTCATCTGCAAGCTTTCTTGTGTCAAACATAAGAAAGGCACATAAAACTCTCTTATTTTTCTGTGTTGTACTGTTGTCTTGGATATTTTCTCTTAATAATATCTTGGGTACTTCCTTCTTTCAGTTCTTTTCACGTGCACGTTCTCCTCCTGCAGATTTCTGTACAGAACCCTTCAGGGAACACTATTCCCAACCCAGCTTCAGCTTGGACGCCAGTTGAGTAAACTATCCCCAGAGATTCGCACCCAGCTTCTGACCAAGTTGAATGTAAAGGAAACAGTACGTCAGACACAACCCTTTGCAGGCAGCTTCTCACCAAGCCTTGGCTCAAATGCTAGTGATTGTTACAAGGCTTATAACCAAAGCACACCTTTGCCAACATCTCCTCAAACAAGTGAGTCACTTTTCCAAGAGCACACAAAGGCAGAACATACAACAGATCAGACTGTGGCTGCCTCTCCCCAGGGTGCGGTGTTGTATGGGGAAAACAAACTCCGCTCATCAGCAAGTAGTCTGGAAAGGTCCATGGGATTTCATGAAGTTAGACACAGCACTTCGGAGATGGAGTCATTGCCCGTGGGAGCAACATTCCCGTGGAGCTCAGCAGTTGACCAAGCAGACTTCAGTTTGTTGAAGTGGATCACATCAACTCCGCTGTTCAGTCGCATTGGGACTGTTTTACAGGTGTCATCAAGCAGTTTACAAAATGAAACACAGGACAGTATGTGTGTGCTTGGCTCTTCTTTGCATGTGGACTTCAAAGGCTTAAAAGAACAGAGCTCAAATAACTTGCAGGACAAAACGAAAGGGACCCCAGCTGATCATTGTAAAAGTGACAATTCCGAGACCACCTTTTTATGACATGGGCCTTAAATATATTTATATATGTTCTATTTGCACACATTTATAGTGAGATTACTCTATTTGTTTCCAAAGATGAAACAGAAAATCAAAGGTACAGAACGATTATTTAAGAATGTTTAAATACAGTATATTGAAATAAGAGCTTTAAATATAAAAAGAAACACTTGAAAGTTCCATTTATATTGTTTTATTTTTTCATCTCATTTTGTAAGGAAATGCTGTCTCTATTTTTCAGATGCTTCTCTCTTATTCTGACACATACTGTAAAAGCAAAGGACCTATCTACCATATTCAAAAGCATTAGATTCAGCAACAATTATTGATATCATTATAGGCCATTCAGTAATCAAGGAGGAAAAACCATGATAATGAATAGGCACTGTATTCCATCCATCATCTGCTTGCCAGGGTGTTTTGTCACTGGAGCAAACCATTAGGCAAGACTATTGAATTATTATACACCTCTCTGTAAATGTTAACAGTATCTTACCACCGCATTAATAATACTGGTATTTTATAAGTGACACCATATTTTGATATTGCAGCCATAGCATTTTATGTGTCATGATAAAACAATAAATAAATGACCATCCATATTGCAAAGTGACTTCCCAGTCTGGCATTAATAGCAATTCAGCCCTTCACTCCGAGTAGCTAGCATTTGGCCGGTCACGGCCTCGTATCAGGCTGTTCAACTTCTGAAGAAAAGCTGCTGCTTGTTTGTGAAGAACGATTTGGTGGCAAGGAGCTGGTGCATTGTGTCCGCCGTAGAGTTTGACCTGGGAGGGTCTGTGATCTTCTGTGCTGGAGCACTACCACGAGTAGGCTGGTTTTGCTGAAGAAGTCAGTCCTGCTTGCTAACGGAGGTGGAGTTTTGTCAGGCACCTTCACTGTTTCAGCCAGGTTAAATCAAGTCCTTGGTGATCAGGAAGGGGCATGACCAGCTGCGAGGGTGCAGTGCTATGCAGAGGTACTTGAGCCTGGTCTAAGACAGGCTAGCTCCAGTGCCGAAGGTAGGGAGCTGCACTGCTTTCTGAGGTTATGCCTGAGCCGACCTTACGTGGTTGCACATCACAAACTGCCACTGGTACATGGGTGTGTGGCTGCGCTGTGCCGGCCTGACGGATCCCAGGCGGGGTTAGCCTTGGAGGGCTGCTTGGTTTTTTCATAGCTAGTCACTATGACCATGTGTGAATTAGCTGCTGCACTTCTTCCTTTCCTCGCCGCGGGTTTTCAGATGGCCTTTGCCTTGCTTGCCATCAGTTGTGTAAGGCCAGAACTTGTTCGTGCCACGCTCTGTGCCAGGTGACCTGGCTCCCGCATGGATTGCCTCAACCCATTAAGCCACAGTGCCTACCATGTGTCACTTGCTAATCCGCTCAGGATATTTTTTTTCAAAGATTTATCCACTGGCCTCTTCCCCAAAGGCGGAATTGGTAATATGAAGCTGTAAAATGCCAATGAAAGGAAGGGACGTAAGCAATCAAAATAAGAGCTGTCAGCCTGTAAATACGTTACCCTCATGAAACATGACACATCCACACGCAGCTAAACTACATTTTGGGATTAGAATTGACTAGGGACAGGGCAAAGATGCTAAGGGACTCACAGGATTTTCAGTCTCCTGTGAACAGCTTTAAGCCATACGATTGATTAAAAAATGTACCTGAAGCACAACTTCTTTTTAGCCTCTAGTTAACGGGGAACATGGGTTTATGTATGTAGATCTTAGCAGAGGAGACCGCATCTATTGACTTATTTGTTACTGGCTGAAAATGTTATGACATTTCTCTGCTTTACATTATTACAACAGAAACGGTGCAATAAGATTGGGCACTTGGTTTCTGTGAAGGTAGGTGGGTATCTGCGCTGCCGGTGCCAACGTGAGCCGGGAGCCACTGGGGTGTGTGTCCTGACACACGCCTCTAAGGCAGGGCAGAGTCCCACGCCCTCGGAGCACTTCGCTCTCTGGAAAGGGAGCCTGCAGGACTCAGGTGGAGAAACCTCCTTTGCAAGTGTCTGTAGTTGGGTGAGACAGTCCAGGTTTAGACATCTCTACTTGCTCTACCAGCCTCCTCGGTCTTGGCAGTAACTGTTGGGATGACTTTGCAGGTAATTCTTTGCAAAGTTAGCTGGCTGTGTTTAACACAAACTGTGCAGAGATTGCCATTGTAAATAACTCACCTGTGTGGAGCTGCAGTGTCTTTTAATTTCAGAGAGGGAATCAAATGACACTTTGAAATGTGTAAATATTGCCATCTGGTTAGAAACATTCCTCTGCTTGTAAAACAGGATCTCACAGAAGGACAGTGCCAGATACCAGGTAGGCAGAGTTCATCAGTTTTGCAAGACGTTAAATTCAGTAGTCTAAGAGTGCCGTGGGGTCATAGCAGGAGCTTGCCATGGATGTCACACGTGTGTGTCCTCTCTCGGTTACTGCAGCAGTCCCAGCAGGCAGGTGAGGGTCTCTCGAGCTTACTGACTCCTCCGCATCTTTCCACAGCACGTTTGGTGTCCCACAGGCCGTCATGGGACTTGCCTGGTGCTGGCAGCAGAAAGGGCTGGAACATCACTGGGCTTTGGCTCAGAGCTGTATTTGATGATATTCTCATCAAAAAAAACCCTAAATTCCTCACTAGACATGCCTTTGTGGTACAAGATTTGGTTTAGTTCTTGTGCTTTCAGTGTTTCAAAGACTATTTTTGTAGGTAAGGGATAAAACGGTTCCTTTGGGACCGAGAGATGCTCATGCACTGCCAGATAGTTGCGTTAAATTGCCACTGTGAGTGCGAGAGTAGTACATCTGTGTCATATATTTAGGGAAACCGTAGATCTAGATCCTCAGCTGCTACAACCATCGTAGCCCCTTCGATTTCTGCAAGCTGACTTACCCCAGCTGGGAGTCAGGCCTCAGTAACTGCTGTATTTTGTTGCAAAAAAAAATCCTTAGAGATACATTTTGAAATTCGTAAAGTGTAAATGCTCCCTTCATGCTAAAAGTTAAAATATCTTACTATGGCAGCAGTCCTGCAAACACGTGTGAGTTTAGTCTTAAATAAACTGAATAATCCCGCTGACCTTAATGGTGCAGTGATCTCAGCAGGAGTGCTTGCGTGCTTACAGATAGATGGGAAGATGTGCCACGCGGAGGCCTCCATGTGCCAAAACTACACAGTGAGATACCTAGAGGCACAGAACCAGGTCAGTAGGATGTCAGTAAGCAAGAGGTCTCCATTTTCTTTTGGGAAATAAATTGTAAAATAATATACATAAAATGTAATTTAAACCAGTTTGGAGAAAAAGAACCAAACAGATTTCACATTTTGAAAGAGAATATTAATCAAACTAATTCTTTTCATTTCAAATCAGAAGTTGTCTCTTCAGCTGCCAGAAGACAAGCACATCAAAGCATGTTACTTGCTGGGCTTTAGGGCTTGTCAACATTTTGAAGCTGCTATTAATATTTGAAACATTTTAACTAAACAAATACTAATGGCTTTTTGAAGCTGTATACAATAAAATAGAAATAAACTTCTAAAATTTATTCCTGTCGGTGCAGTTGAGCAGTTGTCATATCAGACAAAACAAAGCTTTAAATTCATGAGGCCAATCCTCAGAAAGCGTGCAACAGTTTATTAGAAGATTCCACAAGGCAATTAAAACAATGCCCGCTTTCAGTGTATTACCAACAACAGCCCCCTGTACACTCTTTCAAATATTTGCACAGAACTCTGCAAGCACTTCTACATCTGCTCGACATTGCTGGCTGAAACAGTCTGGCTGAAATTAATGACTGAGAAGAAGAGAGTTGTGAATTAAGCATCACAGCGTCCCATATTTCTTACTATTATTTATGTGAACTAACTTCCCAGTGATTTATCCATTTTATAAATTTCTCTTGGATGTGTAAAGGTCTTTGAGAAACAACCAGAACTCTTCTATCGGGTTAGCACTCTAATCTCAGAAATTATATCTCCCACATATGCCAGTGCACTGGAACTGAGCATACAAATGTCAAAACGGAAACAAAACAACACTCCGGTATTTCTTCCAAGATTTTCCAGCTATACATCACTGCTCTGTGCGCCCAGACAGTCATGCATCTGTTTGCCATCCTCCTGCGGCGGCTGTGGAACCTGCAGCCCTACCCCCTGATGGCCATTAAATGATCTTTTATGCTTTTCATACACTGGAAAGCTGATGACAGTGCTGACTTCTCACTGTGGCCAAATCCAGTGACACCCTGTATTGATTTAAGTGCTTCATTGGTGGGGAGAGCTCATCCTTCAGCTAGTAACATTTCCTCAGACCCTTTCAAATTATTCAGCCAGAGACTGCTCTTGGTTCCATGAACCTTGACTTGTCATTTATTCATACCCGATTCTGATTATTCAGTCAGAGACTGCTCTTGGTTCCATGATAGGACTTTCTACCCTGCAATGAACCTTGACTTGTCATTTATTCATACCCGATTCTGCTTAGGGACGCAGTCTGTGCTTGCTCCCAGTGCTTCTCCTGCAGGCTCTACCCGCTTAATTAATGAGTCCCGCTTCGTTACATCTTGGCCCAGTTTTCTAGTGTCATGCTCATCTTTGGCTCCACTTCAGGCTTATACATCCCAAATCTGATCAGGCTGATCACCTGATCCACATACGGCAGGAGGATTTGGGGAGGTTTATCCATTACAGGTGCTACCTCAAATGGTTTTGCACAAATACTGGTTGCAGTACGTGGAGATGTTAAGCTTAAAATAAACTCCATCAGAACTGCGTGTGGTTGAATCATCTGGGAGTGACAATTCCTGCCCTAATCATAAAATCTAAAACTAAAAAAAAAAAAAAAGCCTCAAGTTTTTGCAGCAGCTAGTTCTTGATTCAAACTCTTCCAGCGTCAAATTCAGCAGTGGGTTTTGTAACTGAGTGCACGTGGCAGTTCAGAAAAATCATGCTGATACAACAGGCCATGCGCTGTGACGGAGCAGTAGCAGATACGTGTAAAAGACACCGCGGAAGCCACTAGAGAGAGAGGGTTATGCAGATGTAGCAAAGCTGGGAAGGAAAAGCACTGCTAGACACTATTCAGAAGTCCCAAGGTAGGTAGAGGGAGGAGGGGACCTTCAGAGTTTTCCAGCCGCATTGTTTTTGCAAAGTGGTTCTGCTCATCTCCTCTCCACCCGCTGGCGGGCTTAGTCGTACCGACCTTAAACTTCACTAGAGCTACACCACGAGTGAATTTGGCTCGTTGTCTGCAGCTGAGCACAGATAATGGGGTCGGGCACCTGGCTGATGTCAAGCAATGCAGCTGTACTGACTCACATGGAGGTAGGTCTGTGTTTGCTTTGCAAACAGGAACATGCTGGCTGTGCCCCGGTCAGGAGTGCTCCCTAGTCAGTACCTGTGACCAGGGCAGGTCCCAGTACCAGTTCCAGGGATCCTCCCTGTGTTGAAAACCAGGGCGGGAGCCAGAACAAGGGGGGCCCTGGTGTCCTCCCACGCATGCAGGACGCGAGCAGCCCTCCACTGCTCACTAGACTGAGACCACACATTTGTTCGCAGTGTCCAGGACAACTTTAGGTGGTTAGTGACCTGGAAGAGAAGCAGCAGATAACATGGTGGGGAAATCCTTCCTGCTCCATCAGGAATCTCCTGTGCCATTGCATAAATGTCTGGTTTTTCTCCCATGCTTTCCAATAGTAATCCTGGCCATCAGAAAGCTTCTGGGACGACTGCGCTTCCTGCTGTCAAAGATGCTATGGGAAGTCCTCTGCTGCCATCAGGAGAGGCCCCTTGAAGCACCTGCGCCTGGGACCACAGTGCTGGGAGTGACAGGCGTCTTCGCTTTTAGCAATAGCTCCAGCAGTCACTGCGTGCACCACTCACTGCGTCTCCTTCACGCTGAAGGAGGAGATGCTGCATGGCCACAGCCCATGTATCTTCACTTAAAAAAACCAACAGCAAAATACTTTCACCCTGACTTAGGTTCATAATGGGGAAAGACTTACAAATGTCTCTAGTTCTGGACACCCAGATCGAGGCGAGTGTTTTCCAGCTGTCCTGGACTGTGAAACCCTGTAGTGCATCACACATTCAGAGGGGTCTCTGGTGCTATATGTCTGCAAAATTTCCTGGGGTTTCCTGGGGGGCTAGCCACCCCCAAATCCCAAGATCCAGAATTAGAAGCCACTGATGAAAACGGTAACTGTGCCACGAGAATTGTGTTTTAGTTACATGGAAAAAGAGCAGTTAAAAGAAAGGACTAACTTTTAAGGAAGGTTTTTCTATATGAGGAATTATCTGTGTTTTTAGCAGCAGCTTCCACATGGTTTTAAGTATGGATGTTTGCTCTGTGCAATAATGCCTCCCTTGATACACGAAGTCCAGCACGACACAGATCCTTCCAAGAGGAGGTTTAGCACATCCTAGCCAGGGCAGGCAAAGACAGCCAGGTGCTGCAGCCGGCTCTGCTGCTGGAAGGACTTTAGCTAGGTCAGCCCTCAAAGTCCTGTTTCATCAGTTTGTCTTACACAATGCCTGCTTGCCATGTAGCCTCCTGAGAGGTGTGACTAAACAAGAACCTTGTTAAAAGTGGATTAAAGACGTCAACATTTAGCGTGGTCATTGGTACTGCTGCAGCACATATAGCGCATGCATGGAAATCGTCTCTTAGTGAAGACAAAACACTTGAAAGAGCCTTTTGAGAGACTAGAAAAGGTGTCAATGAAGAGCTGGCACCAGACGAATAAAAGTTGCTCAGACCAGGTGGAGTGCCTGCTTCCCTCTGCAGGGAGATGTCCTGGGACTTTAACTCTTGTTTATTATCTGGGCAGTTGCCCCAAGCCAGGGCAGGCTGCGGGTTTCCAGACACAGTGTTCATAGAATCCTAGAATCATTAAGGTTGGAAGAGACCTCTAAGATCATCGAGTCCAACCGTCCACCCAACCCCACCATGCCCACTAAACCATGTCCCTAAGCGCCTCATCTACACGTCTCTTAAATATTTCCAGGGATGGGGACTCAACCACTTCCCTGGGCAGCCTGTTCCAATGTTTAACCACTCTTTCAGTAAAGACATTTTTCCTCACGTCCAATCTAAACCTCCCCTGGCGCAACTTGAGGCCATTTCCTCTCGTCCTATCGCTTGTTACTTGGGAGAAGAGACCGACATCCACCTCGCTACAACCTCCTTTCAGGGAGTTGTAGAGAGCGATGAGGTCTCCCCTCAGCCTCCTTTTCTGCAGGCTAAACAACCCCAGTTCCCTCAGCCGCTCCTCATAAGACTTGTTCTCCAGACCCCTCACCAGCCTCGTTGCCCTTCTCTGGACACGCTCCAGCACCTCAACGTCCTTCTTGTAGTGAGGGGCCCAAAACTGAACACAGTATTCGAGGTGCGGCCTCACCAGGGCCGAGTACAGGGGCACGATCACTTCCCTGCTCCTGCTGGCCACACTATTTCTGATACAGGCCAGGATGCCATTGGCCTTCTTGGCTGCCTGGGCACACTGCCGGCTCATGTTCAGCCGGCTGTCGACCAGCACCCCCAGGTCCTTTTCCGACAGGCAGCTTTCCAGCCACTCTTCCCCAAGCCTGTAGCGCTGCATGGGGTTGTTGTGGCCGAAGGGCAGGACCCGGCGCTTGGCCTTGTTGAATCTCATACAGTTGGCCTCGGCCCATCGATCCAGCCTGTCCAGGTCCCTCTGCAGAGCCTTCCTACCCTTGAGCAGATCAACACTCCCGCCCAACTTGGTGTCATCTGCAAACTTACTGAGGGTGCACTCAATCCCCTCATCCAGATCATCAATAAAGATACTGAACAAGACCGGCCCCAAAACTGAGCCCTGGGGAATACCGCTCGTGACCGGCCGCCAACTGGATGAAAATCCATTCACCACAACTCTCTGGGCCCGGCCGTCCAGCCAGTTTTTGACCCAGCGCAGAGTACACCCATCTAAGCCGTGAGCCGCCAGCTTCTCTAGGAGAATGCTGTGGGAGACGGTGCCAAAGGCCTTGCTGAAGTCCAGGTAGACCACATCCACAGCCTTTCCCTCACCCACTAGGCGGGTCACCTGGTCATAGAAGGAGATCAGGCTGGTCAAGCAGGACCTGCCTCTCATGAACCCGTGCTGGCTGGGCCTGATCCCCTGGTTGTCCCGCTCATGCCTTGTGAGCACCCTCAAGATGAACCGCTCCATCATCTTCCCCGGCACCGAGGTCAGGCTGACAGGCCTGTAGTTCCCCGGATCCTCCCTCCGGCCCTTCTTGTAGATGGGTGTCACATTGGCAAGCCTCCAGTCGTCTGGGACCTCCCCCGTTAAGGGGAGTTGAGTGTTGACTCAGAACTGGAGCAAGGGGCCTCTCACTGCGGCCCCGCAGCCCTTTGGGTGCTAAAACCCAACACTGCACTGCTGTAGCTAAGGTTAGTAGCTCCTGGCCTGAAATTCCCAGTGGTATATTATAGCTTGTGCTTGTTCATCACGTTTTCCAAAAGCTGTAGGTCTTAAAGTCTCCAGTTTATTCTCAGATGGCCCGTTTTACATGCATGAAGGCACCGAACCATCCTTGCGGCCAGGCTTGCGTGGGGGCAGTTCCTGCCCTTTGGCCCTTCCCCGCTTTCCTCCCCAAAACGTGGAGGCCACAAAGAGCCACTTGGACCTTCAGAAATCCAAACCACGACAGAGATATTGCTCACCATTTACATGCCTGGAAACAAAAGACGAGTGTGGCCTCCAGGGCCCTTTCGTTAATGAAAACAGCAGAGACACCTCTGGTTCAAGTAGCATCTTGGTGGATATGTCCTTCTCATCCTGCACAGCTGCCCGCTGAAGGGGGTTCAGCGACAGCTGACGCTGCTCTTGTCCTGTTCTTTACAGGCAAATGCTCCAAAACTTGGGATCGAGAAGGGGGATATTGAGCTTTTCACCGTAAAAACCTGAAAATGCAAAGCTCTTTTTTTTTTTTTAAATCAAATTCCTGATGAAAATGTGGGGGTTATATTTACTAAAAACCTGTATTTCCAACAAACTCTTTCAATCAGCCATGTGTACTGTTAGAGCTGCATGAACCAATTTTATCCCAAGTGGGCTGGCTGTTTGCTGTTTGTAAAGTCCCTATCATTTTGCGGACACAATTAACTTTGTAGCTGGTTTGTTTTGCTAAACCCCCAAGAACCCAGTAAAACCTTTATAGCTGAAAGAGATTCAATCTTCAGCTCCACGTAAGATGATGGAAATAGAAAGTATGGGTTGGCGTCATCTGGAAACCAAGGGCAAACGATGACACCACAGGAGGCATTGCAGGCAAAGGCTCCTCTCTCCTGGGTGCCTGTGGAAGTGATCATGGTCAACGAAGGTACTGAGAGCTGCAGTTCATCTGAAGTTGTCTGAATTCTGAAGCTTAAAAGTGAATTAATTCATTGATATCTGATTGTACTGGTGGTGTGTGCAACCCTCAAATCCAGGCGGCAGCATTTTCTGTCCATTGAGTGTTGCTTTAAGCAGCAGCCCAAGGCCCACGGCGCAAGGAAGCCAGGCTCTTGGATTATTCGGTGCTAAAGAGAGAAAGAGAGATGCCAGCTTTTCTAAAGCAATACCCTGTGTGCTTTTCTTGCATTCATTTGGCTGCTGTTGAGCCCACCGGCGACCACCTTGCCGGATGGCTCATGCTCACCCGAAGTCAAGCAGTGTTTCCTACCACGAGGTTTTGGGGACACATCAAATACTGAGAGGTTTCAGTGGACACCTCTGCCCTGTGGAAAAGGGGCGACGGGGAGGTCCCAGCGCTCTCCCAGCCTCTGGCAAATCTGCACCTTCCCCATTGCACAGGGCACCTCCAGCCCCTGCGCATCCCCCTTCAGGGGTGACAGTGCAAGTGGAGGAAACACATTTCTGTACACATTTCCATACAAGCACCCATGGACCCTCCTCTGCCCCCCAGCTCCCTGGTCCCCACTGAGTCTGATATAACCATTCACTGGGATCTTGCTCCAGCCAATTTTAGTTCTTTGCATAGCACTACCACAGTTTCCTCTCACGTACTGCAGCCAGGGTTCATTCTTTGTCCCAGAGGACCATTATAAAAATAAAATACAGAATATCACATTTTTGTAAGAGGAAGGGCGGCTGACAGGACACAGCTCTGGGACATTGTGGTCCTCCTAAGGCGGTGCGTGCCAGGAGGTGCTTTACCACATAATTAATTTTACAGGCATAGGTGCACCACCAGTATTTTCCATCCCCTGGCACCACAGGGTGGAGAGAAATGCTGCTTAAAAAAAAATTAAAATTCAAACTGTCCCCTTCCCGCTTCCACCACTGCTCTCTGAGTGCAGGGTTTCTCCTGCCCGGCAGCTCTGTGCTGGGGACAGCTATTCAGCTCATCATCCTCCACCGCACAGCAAGGATGGATCCGCAGTCGGCATCTCCAGCGAGGCCCAGAGGTCACTGCTGCCAACAGGCAAGGCCAGGGGCATCTCTGCTCTGCTCTCAGGAGCCATTGGAGACCACTGACTGTTTTTTGAAGAGGAGAAAACTTTTATTTTTCAAAGCAAGCGGAAGGAAGCATGCAGACTTCTTCAGGTTTAAATAATAGGGTCTTGAACAATTCTTAGAGGTAATCTAGTGTTGTCTGAAGAGAGAAGCAATTTACATTTTCTGTTGTTTGTTGGGAGCAAGAAAAAAAAATGAGGAGAAATATAAGCGGCTCTATTACCACAGTGTGGACGGTTTTTTTTTTTTTTTAAATAATTTAAAGCATTTTTTTTAATCAACTACTTGAAGTCCAACAAAGCCCTCATATCCCTCTATTGCCCCAGCTTAAAGAAGCCCGTTGTGTTTTAACTCTGCAAGCCTTTACTTGTCTATTGCCCCATGACTGACTCCAGAGAAATAGCTGAGGGGGTGCAGGAAATGGGATAGAAAAGAAGAAAATAAGGAAAAAAAAAAAAGAAAATTACTTTAAATGCCTTTCATCAGCCTCCATCCCACTGGTAGCATTGGGATGCTGGATGTCAGCATTGGAGCCGCTTTCCTCTTCATAACCACTTGGCCATGCACTGACAACTGTACATCTTCATATACACGCTTTGGTATTTTGTACTGTAGCGGCCACAGGGTGCCCAGGGCCATGGAGCAATCGCTACGGCATGAGCAGGGCCAGGAATGCAGCCAATGCTTGAAATTGCCTCCACTTGCCGGCGCTGGCCTTCATTTTTAGCCACTTGTTATCAAGGCTGGCTACGAACAGAAAGTGCTTCTGCACAGGGGAAAAAAGTAGTTAACTAAAAACAAAAATAGATCATTTATTCATTTAGAATAGAATAGAATAGAATAGATTGAAATTTCAGTGGGAAGGGACCTACAACGATCATCTAGTCCAGCTGCCTGACCAATTCAGGGCTGACCAAGCTAAAGCATGTTATTAAGGGCATTGTCCCAATGCCTCTTAAACACTGACAGGCTCGGGGCATCGACCACCTCTCTAGGAAGCCTGTTCCAGTGTCTGACCACCCTCTCGGTAAAGAAATGCCTCCTCATGTCCAGTCTGAACCTCCCCTGGTGCAGCTTTGAACCATTCCCACGCATCCTGTCACTGGGCACCAGGGGGAAGAGATCAGCACCTCCCTCTCCACTTCCCCTCCTCAGGAAGCTGTAGAGAGCAATGAGGTCGCCCCTCAGCCTCCTTTTCTCCAAAGTAGACAAGCCCAAAGTCCTTAGCCGCTCCTCACAGGACATGCCTTCCAGCCCTTTCACCAGCTTTGTTGCCCTCCTCTGGACACATTCAAGGACCTTTAACATCCTTCTTCAACGGTGGGGCCCAGAACTGCACACAGTACTCAAGGTGAGGCTGCACCAGCGCTGAATACATCGGGATAATCACTTCTCTTGACTGGCTGGTTATGCTGTGTTTGATGCACCCCCGGATGCGGTTTGCCCTCTTGGCTGCCAGGGCACACTGTTTGAAAACGAGGAGATTTTAAACCTTTAACAAGGTGCCTTGAGATGAAAGTTCAGCTTCAACAGTCTCCAAGTGGGAGAACCACATTTTGCTCCTTGCAAAACTGAAAAAAAAAGTATGAACGAAAATCTGGAATATTTTCAATTATATTTGCTTCAGATTTGTGTGAGGCTTATCCTTAAGAAACCCATTTGAGACAGGTTTATGAAGATGTTTTAAAAGGTCAGGATATTTTTAAACCACCGTTAATCTGGAAAAATGCCCCTGCCATATTGAAAATTGTTTTTCATGCCTCCCAAAAAAGCATGCACACTGCTAGCTAACCCTATACCTAATTACAACCTTTTCCCCCCAGTTTTCAAGGGAGTGGGTTTCTGGGAAAAGTGTCCCCACCCCAAAGGGTCTCGAGTGTGTCAGGCTGTGACAAACCTCCAAAACAAACCATCGAACAAGGCAAACTTGTCTGCTCCCTCCCTCCTGTGATTAACAGTTTCCCATGCGGGGCTGGTCTTTTCTAGAGCTTTTCCAGGCAGTGCAGGGTAAGCAGCTGGGCTTTAGAGCCAATAAAGAAACAACGCATAAGCCAGCAAAGAAAGAATAGTAGTGGGGAGAATTAGTTTTGTTTCTAGTGTTAAAAAATAAAAAGATGCCTGTGTATGTGTTGGTGTGTGCATGCCTACTGAGAGATTGAAATAAAATTGATCAGAAGTTAAGCTATTCCGTACTTCAGAGGTGTTCACCCTGGGAGCTCCAGGATGGGAGCAGATGGGTGAAACCACAGACTCAAGGACCAAGCGGTCACTGTAACAGGTCATGGCGACAAAACCACAGACTGGGGCCAGCTTAATTAACTAATAAAAGATGAACCACCCAGTCTAACACAGAGCTGCAAGCCTGGCAGGAAAAGCAGCCTGGCCGATGAAGTGGTTTTGTGTGAGCAGAGTGAGGAAACGTGGCAACTGCATGACATGTTGCCCGTGCCACGGCGTGGGGTGCAGCCGGAGGAGGGGGTGTCCGTCAGTGCAGGGCTGCCATGGGGTCCCACCTGGCCCATCCCCGAAGCCCCGCCAGGCTGCAGACATAGCTGCATGGGTGGTGACAGCGGCAGCTTGTTCTGCCTGCCACGGTGCTGCTCAGTTTTAGTAAGTTGTTTTCTTTCTTTTCCTCTCCTCAGTAAGACGTGTGGCTGCATAAATGTTGGCATTCAGCATCCCTCTCTCCAGTCCCTTGCAACCAAAATGGAGATGCGTTTATAGACTGGCTGGGGAGCAAACTACCTCCCTGGCCTAAATTACCTCAGTGACCTATATTCAATCAAAGGGCATAAACCGAATAACCACACTGCTTACATTTAGGTGCCATCTCTATACGAGCCAGGGAAGGCTGGTCAGGAAGGCAGCCTGGACCAGCACAGCTGGAAAATGTAAATGAGCTCTCCTTCGGTGACAGGGCAGTGGGATGCAGAGGGATGTGGCGGGATGCAGCAGGATGCTGCAGGATGCTGCAGGTTGCCATGGGATGCAGCAGGACCTGGCGGGGCACAAGATGTGCTTGTGCCACAGATGCTGCCGTGGGCTCGGCGGGCTGCTGGCAGGGACAGGAGGTCACCTGTGCGGAGGCAGCTGCCAGCTTCCCCATGCAAATTCCTGGTGCGCAGATAAAAGCCCAGCGTACATGCAGAGGAGCTGGGCATGCCTGTGTTTGAGAGCCTGCTCAGTGCACAGCCGTCAGGTTTATTGCCTCATAAGAAAACCCGAGGGATTTCCAGGCAGGCCTCCAAGATGAATGTGATAATGTCCGAGGCATATTTCTCATCTCACTCAGAAGGGCAGAGCAACTTGACATCTCATTTTGGCACCAAGCGTGGCTGTATCTTGTATTCGCAGGCCGGAGCAAATTGCCTCAAGGGCCGTGTAAGAATTACAGGCTGAATTGATCATTTATCAGACTACCAGGACAGAGGCTCCCTGCTTTCCTCCCA